ATTTAAATCATGATTTAAATCAAATCCACCCTGATTCACGGTCTGTGTAAATTGAAAGAAAACTGAAAATTGAAAGATATGAGCAACAATCTTGTTAAGGACAATGCTGGACAATGAATAGCTATAGAACAAGAGATGTCACTGTACAGAGGGACATCTTTAGCTTTCTGTGCTGTATTGTGTGTGTGTCTTTGTGTGCCTTCGAGTAAGTGTTGACTCAGATGGGTGGGGGGAGGCGGCCAGGGGAGACTGATTCAGCAGACTTCATGCCAGAATTGTCAAGAGGCACTCTGGATAGTGAGATGGGGGAATGTATAAACGTAACGAAATCATCAAAACCATTAAAAGAAATCATCAAAACCATTAAAAAGTGAAAGTTAGAATATTTTGGACACCCGGAAAAATACAGCGTACTTCACTCCAACAAAAGGCAAACAAGGTCCATGCAGAAGAAGAACATAATAGCTTCAAAATCTAAGGAACTGGTTTGGACGAAACTCAGCAGCACTTTTTCGTGCGGCTGCTGATAAAAATAGGATCGTCAGCATGATTGCTGGCGTCCGATGACGGATATGGCACAAGAAGAAGAATAAAATTAATAAATAACGTAGGTGTGAAGTTTCCGAAAGAAGTAGGACTAGAACTCACAGTCCCCTGGATTCTAGACATGTGTCTCTGAAGAACTTCTAGCCTAGCGCTCTTGAAGGATTTCAAGTCACAAAAAAAAAAAAAAGCACAACGAAGAATGTTCTTTCTGCGCCAACTCAGAAAGCTCAAACTGCCCAAGGAGCTGCTGATACAGTTCTACAGAGGAATTATTGAGTCTGTCATCTGCACCTCTATAGCTGTCTGGTTTGATTCTGCAACCCAACAAGACAGACACAGACTTCAGAGGATAATTAGAACTGCAGAAAAAACAATGGCTACCAACCTGCCTTCCAGTGAGGACCAGTATACTGCACAAGTGAAAAAGAGGGCTGTGAAAATATTTACAGACCCCTTGCATCCTGGACATAAACTGTTTCAACTCCTACCCTCAAAACGACGCTATAGAGCACTGCACACCAGAACAACTAGACACAAGGACAGTTTTTTCCCGAACGCCATCACTCTGCTAAACAAATAATTCCCTCAACACTGTCAAACTAGTTATTAAGGCTGCATTACTGTTAATCTTCTCATCGTTCCTATCATCTCCTACCACTTATGACTGTATGACTGTAACCTTGTTGCTGGTATCCTTACGATTTATATTGACTGTTTCCTAATATGATTTGATTGCTTATTTGTACCCTATGACTATCATTAAGTGTTGTACCTTATGATTCTTGACAAATGTATCTTTTCTTTTATGTACACCGAGAGCGTATGCACCAAAGACAAATTCCTTGTGTGTCCAAACACACTTGGCCCATAAATTCTGTTCTGTTCTGTTCTGTTCTATTCGCACTAAAGTGCCCATGCACATTGCTGTAGACCTTATATAGCTGGAGGATAGAAAGTTAAGGAAGTCTGCCTTAAAATTCAGAACAACACAAATTGTCCATATGGCTATCAATTATAATGCTCCTAATTTCACATATTCAGGATCCTCCTTCTTTCCCTTGGATATAAGTGGAAAGAAGCAAGCCAGGTTCTGACCAGAATAATATGTGTAACTGTTAAAGTTTTCCATACACGATTCCTTTGCGTATAAGATTTATTCGTACCTTCTTTTCAATGGACAGAGATTGGGTGAGTGGGGTGGAGAATGGAAGAGAGAAGGAAATGAAATCAAACACTGCCTAAAAATGATGGTAAGGTCTTACCCACCCACCCAATTCTGTAACCCCAAAACCAGAGATGGAATAGACTCCATACTCATAAAGCAATCTTCCTTCTATAACTGCTGGCACTTTCTTAATTATTGCACATCAAGATGAAAGGAAGATGTATAGTACAGAGGTATGTGGAAAGTCATTGAAAAGTTACACAATAGCAACACTATTTTTGCAAGCGGTACAAAGATCATTACGTGTTTTGATCAACAGCAGCAGCACAAGCTCAAGCTGAACAGGACAATCACATTTGCACTAAAAAGAATTTTTTTCCCCCTTCCCTGAGAAAAAAGAAGATTTCCTTTCTTTGGACACCCTTCCTACAGCACACAGAAAACATTTATTAGCAGGACAAGACAAAGCAAAGCAACCCAGCAAAAAACCAACTAAAATAAAAAGCAAAATATCTACGATAAACTGTTTTTGTCTGGATGGGTTAAAAATTATGTACCAGCAAAATACCAGGTAGTTATTTTGTTGCTTTGTTTATTATACTTAACTTGTTTAGGGGCTTTGTGCATTATGCAAGCCACAAATATGGGCTAATTCAGAAACCCGGTTGGATGAGTGCTACCAGAGGATTATATGACTTGGTCAAAACCAGCCAGCTACGGATGTGAAGATTGCAACCATTGCCCCAAATAGCACATTTCTGATTAATCACTTGGCCCAGAGTCTATGCGCTCAGTGAATCTTTTATGTTTACCTTCTTCATAGCATCTCTGCCAATTTGAGGCTTATTCACAGATTCCCAGTAAAAACCATGAAATAACTCGTGTCCTTTAGAGTCAAGGCTTGAAATGGTGACTCCGTGAACATATTCAGAGGGTTTAATTGGCAACAAAACTGTTTTCTTTTGACTTCTTCCAGGATATTATTTTTTTTCCCAATTTCTCAATCCACTCTACAGATTGATCTACTCTACAGATTGATTTACAATTTACTTGGCAGACTTTCTCATCCAAGTAGGTCTCAGCCTGTTCAGCTTTTGAAGATCAGTCAAAGCTCATCAGTTGGCTTAATCAATGTGGCCCAGCCTAAAGATCATCACACACACACACACACAAATCTGTGATGGGGATAGGTGGGTTTAAGAAAGAGTTTCACGTGGAGATGGATTGTTCTCAAACTTTTCAAAGTGCCCTCATTTTTTTGAGCTTGGGCCTAAAAACCGCTATTCACATATTCACAACAGCAAAAATCAAACTACCTAAGTCGCTTTATTAGCCCCCAAGCAAACAGAGTGAGATCCCCCAGGCAACAAGCTCATTTTGTACACAAACACAATCTCCTTCAGTCTTTGACCAAACTGGGATGGTGAAAATGCACCCCAGATTCACTTCTCTTAAGGCTCAAAGGGACCCAGCAGAACACAACTGTGTTGTCAAAAGTTCCACAGAGCTCCGACACTCTTCTGCAAGTGTGAAAACTGAGAAACAAATAGTGGGGAAGGGGTTAATCTGACATAACTTCTCTGGATACCAAACAAAACCGCAAAAGGAGAAGGGGTTGGGGGTTAAGGAAAGGCAACCAATATGCAATTCCTGGAAAAAAAAAACACAGAAGCAAAGCTGTATACCACTCGGTTCCTCCTCAGTCCCAACCATCTCCTAAAGTCCAGAAAATGCAAACTCAACACACACAAATACCCTTTAAAATAGCAGTCACTAACTGGTGGTCCGCGAGAAAATTTTGGTAGTCCGCAGAAAATTTTGGTAGTCCACATGTTTTATATTGCACTAAATACTATTTATCTTTTTTAAAAAAATTCATATTAGTGGTCCACGGGATTTAAAATTATGAATTGAGTGGTCCCTGAGGTCTGAAATGTTGGTGACCCCTGCTTTAAAATGTAGGGTACTGAATGGGGGGGGGAACTGGGGAGGGGTCACCAAAGGACACTGGCAAGCTGGCTACAATCTCTGGAGCTATGGGGTTTTTTTACCACTTCTGGTCGAGGGCATTAGGTGGAAACCTCTTAAGAGGCATTTCCCCACTTTCCTTCTCTTTTGAGGGACTAAAGAGAAGATATCAGGGTCAAGCAAAACTCTTTGGGGTGACTTTCCTTCGATCTTGCTTCCCAGGATAAAGCAGGTTTCCTTCGGGTTGCACCCAGGGCAGCCTCTTTGCACGGCTCCCTTGAAAAAGGGCAACCCCCCCCTCCCAAATTCATGCTGCAAGCCGATAGAAAGTTTGCTCAGCCTTAAAATCCCCAAAGGTCCCTGGAGCAACAGCATACAGACGTGATCTCTCCGGCTCACCCGCCTTGCCTTTTATTCCCTTTACGCCACCTTGCCCCAAGCCGCTTCCTCTAGGATGGTGGCAATTGGCAACTCCAATCGGGCCCATCCTAAAGAGGCGATGGGTGCTGTAGTCCCAGGGCACCCAGCAAGGGGGGAAAAAGTTGCAAAAGACAATGGATGCGCGGCCAGGATTCTCACGTGCCCCCCCCATACCCCATTCCTTGTGGCTGGCCACAAAACAAGGCATTCAGCCGAGAGGGTGGGGGGGGGGGAAGAAAGAAGAAAGAAAGAAAGAAAGAAAGAAAGAAAAAGAAAGAAAGAAAAAGAAAGAAAGAAAGAAAGAAAGAAAGAAAGAAAGAAAGAAAGAGGCTCAGTGGCCAAGACACTGAGCTTGTCGATCAGAAAGGTTGGCAGTTTTGGCGGTTCGAATCCCTAGTACAAGTCTCCTGCGTGAACGGGGGGGGGTTGGACTAGACGACCTCCAAGGTCCCTTCCAACTCTGTTACTGAATGTGTTACTAAGACACTGAGCTTGTCGATCAGAAAGGTCGGCAGTTTCGGCGGTTCGAATCCCTAGTACAGGTCTCCTGCCTGAGCAGGGGGTTGAACTAGATGACCTCCAAGGTCCCTTCCAACTCTGTTACTGAATGGTTACTAAGACACTGAGCTTGTGGATCAGAAAGGTCGGCAGTTTCGGCGGTTCGAATCCCTAGTACAGGTCTCCTGCCTGAGCAGGGGGGGTTGAACTAGATGACCTCCAAGGTCCCTTCCAACTCTGTTACACGGTTAAAACTATTTGCCCCCCCCCCTCAAATCCCAGAAGTGGCATTAATGGCAGACCATCAAAAACAGACCCACCCAACCCAGTGCAAAAAAAACAACAACAACAAGGAGACCCGGGGGAACAGGGGGTGGGAGAGAAGAAGGAGAGACCCCCTCACCTTTGCCTCTGCACCTCCAAAGGTAGCCCTCCTCCTGCTGCTGCTGCTGCTCCTCCTGCAACAGAGGCGCCCTGGGTGGGGCTCAGCAATCCGGGGGGCGCGATGCCCGTCTTGGGGGCTCCCACCAAGACCCCCGCCAGGGCGGCCGGGCTGACAGCGGCGGCGGGCACCGGGCAAAGCGGGCTGCCCAACAGCAGCTGGGGCAGGAGGGCAGCGGCCGCGCCCAGCCCGCGGGAAGGGTCCAGCTCAGCCGTGGAAGGCAGCAGGAAGCCCGGCGGGGGCCCGTGGGGGCCCGTCGGCAGCAGCAAGCGGGGCGCGGGCTCCGCCGACGCCGCCCCTCCTGCCTCTTCCTCCGGGGGCGGCGGCGGCGGAGGAGGCGGCGGCGGCTGAGCCTCTCCCGGGGCCGGCGAAACGGGCTGCTGCTGCCCCTGCGAAGGTTTGCCGGGCGCCGGGCACGACGACGACGACGGTGGCGGCGGCCGCCCGTCCAGGGAGATGTTGTTAAGGAAGAAGAGGGCGGCCTGCCTCCGCCGGGCGTCGCCGCCCCGCTTGCGGGCCCCAGCCGGCGCTGCCTCCGGAGGCTCCTCTTGGGGCGGCCGGCTCGTCGGGGAGCCGCACGCAGCCGCAGCCATTCTCCCCAGCCGCGGCAGCTTTGCCCCGCAGCCGCCACTCGCAGCGGCGGGGAAGCCGTCGGCCCGCCGGCCGCCCGCCCCCAGCTCGGGCGGGTGGAGCGGACTCGCGCTTCCCCTCCTTGGGCCGCCTCGGCCCGGCTAAGGGATGTGGCTCAGCCGGCGCCTGGCCTGCCATTGGCCGCGTCGCGGCGGTATGTAAATACGGACGCTCTTCGCCGCCTCTCATTGGCGCGCCGACGGTCCTATTGTCAGCGCCGTTCTGTTTTTCCTCTCCTTCTCCTCCTCTCCTCTCCCCACCCCTCCACCCTTTCCTTCTTCCTTTCTGTTGAACGCCTCTTCGCCAGGTCCTAAAGGCCGCCGGGTTCAAAGGCCGCGAACGTTTTCAAAGGGGAAAAAAAAAAAAAAACAATAGCCGTCAAGAAAGTTCAATTGCCTTTTGGGAAAAAAAATCCCAAAGGTGCTTTTTTTTTTTTCAGGAGGCAACTGGACTTTCTTGGGGTTTTTTTTTTTTTTTGAAGACGTTTCGCTTCTCATCCAAGAAGCTTCTTCAGCTCTGATAGGATAGTGGGGAATGGAAGGATTTATATTCCTTGCAGACAGAGTTAGCAGATTTAACAGAGTTGGAAGGGACCTTATAGGTCAGTGATGGCTAACCTTTTTGCCGTTGTGTGCCAAAAGCGGGGAGAATGTGGGGGGATCGCGCACGCATGTGCCCACACCCATAATTCAATGCCCCCTGCGCCCCCCCCCCCCCCCCCGCCTGCCAGACCCCCCCCCCCCCCATTCCCTATGTTTTTGGCACGCAATGGCAAAAAGGTTACCGGTGGGCCCAGTAGGCCTGTTTTTCGCCCTCCCCAGGATCCAGAGGCTTTCTTGGAGCATGGGGAGGGCGAAAACGGCCTTTCCCGCCCCGGCGGAGGCCCTCCGGAGGCTGGAAACGGCCCATTTCCCGACTTCCAATGGAACCGGAAGGCCTGTTTTTCGCCCTCCCCAGGCTCCAGAGGCTTTCTTGGAGCCTGGGGAGGGGAAAAACGGCCTTCCCGCCCCCCCGGAGACCCTCTGGAGGCCAGAAACGGACCATTTCCTGATTTTGGGCCTGGAAGGACCAAAAGTCAGCTGGCCGGCACGCGCATGTGCGCTGGAGCTGAGCTTGGGCAACGCTTGCATGCCCACAGATATGGCTCCAAGTGCCACCTGTGGCACTCGTGCCATAGGTTTGCCATCACGGTTATAGGTCATCTGGTCATTTGCATCCTTTTAGAGGGTGGCTGAACTCTAAACCTCCAAGTGCTTCAATGACCCTCTTAAAGGATGCAAATGACCAGCTGTCTGCAAGGAGTATAAATCCTTCCATTGCCCTCTATTCTGTCATAGCTGAAGAAGCTTCTTGGATGAGAAGCGAAATGTCTTCAAAGAAAAAACAATAAAGTCCAGTTGCCTCCTGAAAAAGCACCTTTGGGACAACCACGACCTGGATGGTTGAGAATCTCTACAGACATTTGGTCGGATACACAAGGAAATCAGCATTTACAGCAGTATTTCTCAAACTTGGAGGTTGATGGTATGTCTGCCTAGAGTCAGTATATAGGTGGAGATGGGTTGCCACACATATTAAATAAATAAATATTATAGTCAAAATAGAACTTTGGACAAGAAGCCCAATGTTTTTCAAACTTGGCATGTTGGCGGGGGAATTCTGGGAGTTGAAGTCCACACATCTTAATGTTGACTGGTCTCTGTCAACAATCCTTTTCTTGGATTAGATAGAATTTGCAAATCTCACTTTTAATAGACTTACGTTATTCATACCATACGCCAGACCAGGTGAAGGAAGTTCAGGGAAGTTTGACATTTAACCTTATTTTACCCGGTGTTGAATGATTTACAGGTTCATGAAACACATTTATCTTTCCATTGAGCCAATTAGCAAACATATGAGCAGAAAGAATTTGAATTCCAACTTTATTCACTAGAGTTCCATGTTTTTATTTTCTAATAAAAAGCTGGTTTAAAGAGATTCCCTATAATATTCATCTTTGTTACCTGTTTTTCTAGAAGTATCTTCAGTAGCCCTAGATAAAATATGTAATGCCAGTCTTGGAAGGGAAGAAGGAAGAACCCAATTTTCAGAAAATTTGCTTTCAGGATGTTTCTATGATAAACTATAATAGTTTCTATAATAGGACACATCTTATGGCAAATCTCACAGGGTTTGCTTGCACAGATGTTCAAAGTTATGCTAAATTTTGTTTAATGCCAATAACTGAATTTTCAAGTTAAAGTTAACACTTAAAGTTACTGAATTTGAGAAACAATAGTTTAGAGAGAGCAAGTGAGTGAGTTTGTAGCAATGTGGTCCCTGCAGTTTTCTTGGCAAGATTTTTGACCTTGCCTTCTTCTTAAGGCTGAAAGTGAATAACTGGCCCAAGACAGAAGATCATTTTTAGGGCTGCATAAATTTTATTTTGGTTATTTTCTAACCCTACTCCTAAATAATACTTCATACTTGGATGGGAGACCACCAGGACTATAGGTTAGATTCTAAGGTTAGTGGAGGCAGGGTGAGGCTTCCTGGGCGGCTGGAATGTGAGGTGGTTGGCTCTGTTGGCTGCTCCCCGCTGGAATGACAATCCCGGCGCAGCGGGCCTGACAAGAGAGAGAGAAGAAAGAAAGAGAAAGAAAGGAAGGGAGAGAGAGAGAGAAGAAGAAAGAAAGAGAAAGAAAGGGAGAGAGAAGAGAGAAAGAGAAAGGAAGGAAGGGAGAGAGAGAGAGAGAGAAGAAGAAAGAGAAAGAAAGGGAGAGAGAAGAGAGAAAGAGGAAGGAAGGAAGGGAGAGAGAGAGAGAAGAAAGAAAGAGAAAGGAAGGAAGGGAGAGAGAGAGAAGAAAAGGAGAAAGGAAGGAAGGGAGAGAGAGAAGAAAGAAAGAGAAAGGAAGAAAGGGAGAGAGAGAGAAGAAAGAGAAAGAAAGGAAGGGAGAGAGAGAGAGAGAAGAAAGAAAGAAAAAGAAAGGGAGAGAGAAGAGAAAGAGGAAGGAAGGAGGAGAGGGAGAGAGAGAGAGAGGAAAGAAAGAAAGGAAGGAAGGGAGAGAGAGAGAAGAAAAGGAGAAAGGAAGGAAGGGAGAGAGAGAGAGAAGAAGAAAGAAAGAGAAAGGAAGGAGGGAGAGAGAGAAGAAAGAAAAAGAAAGGAAGGAAGGGAGAGAGAGAGAAGAAAGAAAGAGAAAGGAAGGAAGGGAGAGAGAGAGAGAAGAAAGAAAGAGGAAGGAAGGGAGAGAGAGAGAAGAAAGAAAGAGTGACGTGAGTGATGTCATGTTGGCCCCGCCCACCCAGTCATGACCACCCAGCCCCGCCCACCCAGCCCCGCCCACAGAACTGATTGCAAAAAAATTTAGATTTCACCCCTGGGTTAGAATGAGAAACTGAAATCCATATAGCAACCCAAAAAAATCTTTATTTTTAACCAATGCAAACCTATCAATACTTTGATGCAGATACTATTATTATTGCTATCATTTTATTATCATTTCATTTCATCCGATGTTGTGCGCTGCCCAATAATATTTTGAGACTGGTGGGATTTGTAACTACATAAATAAGTAAAATAAAAAAAACTGTGGCGCCTTTGCTTTTCCTGCCGAACGCTTTCATCTTTTCTTTAGATGCAGCAGAAGTTAATTTCCAGATAAATCCTTCAACCCACCTGCTCCATTGGGAATTTCTGGCTTGTAAAGCTTCTGATTTGAAAAGAAAATTGAATATTGATTTTACGATTTATGAAATGGTTTTGGGTTTTAATCTTTGTGTGCCACTCAGGGTCACCTTGGTGAAATAGGCAGCTATATCAATTGTTTAAGCAATTAAACAAAGGGACGAATGAATAACAAAGAAAGCACTTTGCACACGCATATTCTTCATTTCCAAAACTTTTCGAAGGGGTAAGTCTTTAAAGCAGGTTTCCTAACTGAATCCTGTTTTCCACATTAGAGAAAATGTTTTTAAAATGCATAGCCTAAATGACTAATTAATATATTAAAACCGCTAGCATCAATTATTTATTAGTTAGCAGATCATCATTTTTTCACTGTGCCTACAGGAATTCTTTTCTTATTTTTTTTTCCACCTTCACATTGGGGGGGGGGAAGCGCTATCTCTTGGATTACTTCCTGCAGGGTACTATTAAAGCCATTGCAAGATCTCTGTTCCCCCCCTCCCCTTCCAAATTGTGTTGTGCAGCCCTAGTAGGCAAATTATCCATTGACTTGTTTACGGAGATTCTCAGTCATCTAGGATGGTCATGGTTATCTCAAAGGTGCTTTGTTTTTTTCATTGAAGACGTTTCACTTCTTATCCAAGAAGCTTCTTCAGTTCTGATGGACTCTGTTTTTCCCTGAAGACTTTTCACTTCTCATCCAAGAATCTTCTTCAGTCCTGATGGACTTTGTTTTTCCCTGAAGACGTTTCACTTCTCATCCAAGAAGCTTCTTCAGTTCTGATGGACTTTGTTTTTCCCTGAAGACGTTTCACTTCTCATCCAAGCATCTTCTTCAGTTGTGATGGACTTTGTTTTTCCTTGAAGACGTTTCACTTCTCATCCAAGAAGCTTCTTCAGTTCTGACTTCGGCCAGAACCGAAGAAGCTTCTTGGGTGAGAAGTGAAACATCTTCAAAGAAAAACAATCTTGCCTTTTGAAAAAGCACCTTTGGGATAGCCATCGACTTGCCTTGTGCTAATTTGAGAGGAAAGGTGTATTGGATGGGTGGAGACACTTGGGACCCGAGCAGCAAATCTCAAATCTTGTTTGTAGACTTCCCAGCCACGGGTTAGTCCCTGCAGGAATCCTTGATGGCATTCACACAATACACTTAACCTTAAGGGGATCGAACTTCTTATTCATATTATATTATTGTCAGTTCTGTGTATCTTTTTTTTTTAATTTGATTTATATGCCGCCCTTCTCTGGAGACTCAGGGCGGCTTACAGTGCGTTAAGCAATAGCCTTCATACTTTTGTATATTTATACAAAGTCAGCTTATTGCCCCCACAAACTG